GCCGTCGCCGCCCGCGGCCGCGCCCGCCCGTCGCGCATCCAGCGGCGCGACGTGGACGACCCACAGACGCTGAAGGAGCGCTCGTCCAAGCACTGCGACAAGTTCACCGACGGCGACCCCGACAAGAACCGCTTCTACTCGCCGCTCTACGGCACCAACTACCCCAACTCCACCGACTGCTACCGCATCCTCGACGGTGAGTCACCAGTCTCAACCACTTGTTCTCTGAATTAACTTTCCTAACCCATTTTAAGACCACCACTTGTTTTCTTGATAAAGTGTTCTGATCCAATTTTAAGACAGTCACATTTTCTTGAGACAAAGACATTATGTTTTAAACAAATTCCAATTTTTATCTTTTTTAAAATGTTATTGTCTCAAAAAACGTGATTGTCTTAAAAATTGAGTTGAAAACTTTATCGTAGGTAATAACTCGAGTGCTTTGGATATTGCCGATAAATTCCCGACTCGTGAAACAATTAGGGATTTATCTGAGAATATTCAAATCGTGAATGGTATTTAATAGAACTATTCCTCGAGTGACATTATGTCCAACAAAGTTACAAAAGCGTATGTTAAAATCAGAGGTTATATTAAAGCACATACGCTGTTTATTGGACTTTGACATAGCGATCGCTTCCTAAGAGAGAGATTCACAGTTTATGATTGGCCAGTAAGTAGAAGCGGGAAGAAAAATCGGATAGGAAAAGCGATAAACTTTTTGAAATACACCGCCCTGATTGGGACATTTTGTATGTTTGATTTCAATGTCACGAATGGAATAGTCAATCTAACGAATTACAGAGAATTTATAAATTTATACAACATAATTTAAGTGATAAACTATTGTTTATCTTTGTTCGTATGGTTTTTTCCCGTTTTTTCAGAAGCTGTGTATATCAAAGAATGCTTTCGTTATGTAGGATTTGGTTCTCTATTTTCAGGAATTTTCAAAAATGTGTGTCATATGTATTTCTAGCTAACTATTTGTCAATGGCCAAAGTATAAAAGGCGCGAGACAAAAGTACATCCTCACTACCTTACCTTCCATTTCCTCTTACGCATTGTACAGAGGTTAACGATGTCTCTGAGCGTCTGATTTCTTCAAGTCCTGTTCAAAAATTTTACCACTTATTATTAATCACTTTTCATTTTAAATTGCTACAAATATTTTAGCAAGAAAATTGAAACCCAAGTTAGCCTGAAAGCTCTTTCAGCCGTGACACTCTTCCTTTGGCACCTCTTCGTGTGTGTGCTTTCAATTCCTGAAATTTTAGTCTCATACGAAAATAAAAATATTACACCAATATTCGCTTCAAATTACATTCTCATCAAGTCCACTTGTCACTAGGTGGTAATAAATACATTGCACTTTGATCCTTCCTTCTGTGTAAGTAACTGCAAATCCGTCCGACTGTCAAGACTTCGCGCTCGACTCAGTCGTGAACACAGACTCTTCTCCCAAGCCTTGTTTTTGTGCGTTGGAAGAGTTTACGCGCGCCCTCTGCATCTCTGGCGCCTCTGCCTTTCACGGAGATCCAGTCTGCATCGCTTTCGACCGTCTTGATCGCGATCTAGGCGCCGCGCCGCGGAGGAAACGCGGCTGAAGTGGACTTGTGTGAAGGTTGGGAGATTGACATCTTTGGAATGAAAGGATATAGGGAGAGGTGGAGGTGACCGACGTAGAGAGATAGAGCGATATAAAACGCACACTATATGTAAGTGGGTACGAGGCAAGGCGGATTCAGAAAAGAAGAAGAGAAGCAGAAAAATTGCGGGGTTGGGGGAAAGGTGAGAAATTGCGGGAGCGGAAAGGGATGGGGGGGCGGGAGTTGATGCGGATGTATCGTATCGGAGGCATTGTATCGGATCAGTAAGTTTAGCACTCGGATCGGAGATATGGACCAGAAAAGATCACGTCTCGGAGATAGACGAGAAACAAAATCGAGCCTCAAATGATCAAGTACAAAACATTCCCCCATTACGTGCCAAATTTGGAAAAATATTAATTTCGTCGCTGCCTTTTGAAATAGTGGGTATAAGTAGAACACTTTAAGAGAACCATCAACTGATGTCACTGCAGGCACAGTGGTCCTAGGTTAGAGTCCCAACGCTGGCAGGATTTTCGACACTGTCTAGAAAGGTCGAATTCAGCTGGGCCGAGAGAAGAATTCTAGCGGTCGGCTGCTCTGATTGATGGTTTTCCACGATTTCTGCGTTCGATACCAGACTAATTCTAGAGCACTACCCTGACAAACAGTCCATGGACCGCGCGCGATCTGCCCTTCCTCTTCTTTGTTCTATCCCCGCCCATTACTTACTCACTTACGTGCTCTACTCTACAACCACATATGCCGGGAAACTGGACGGGACCTTCGACGTGTCCCGGCTTGGTCGGTGCCCGGCTGGTGGGAGATACCTGGTTGATGGAAAACTCCGTTAGCCGACGATAGGTCGACGCCGAACTTCACCATGCAGATTAGGAAGGACACCCCCCTCTCGAGGAAAACACATGAACTACACATACGGAACTAATGATCTGAGCCGTTGAAGTACCCGAAAACACTAATTCTCTCGAGGAAACATATGCACTATACATACGGAACTAATGACCTGAGCGGTCGTCGTGCCCGAATCAATCGGAGAGAGGGGTGGGGTGGTGCTGGAGGGCGAGAGGAGGGGAGGTGAGTGTCAGGATCGGCGAGGAGACAGGGCGGAGGAGGTGCAAGTGGGTAAAAGCAAGATGAAGATGCGATCAAACGAGTAACGGCGACGCTGGCTGGCAAATAGCGAAGGAGAAGGAGGGAGGTGGGGCCAGAGGGAAGGGCAAGACGGAGGAGAGGCAAAGGCGAGTCGGGTCGAAGAGACAGGGTGGTGCATGAGTGAAAAGCAAGATGCAGATGCAATGGAACAAGTGACGGCGGCAAACGGGGAAGGTTGGGGAGGGGAGGCGAGGGGAGGCGCGGGCAACAAAGTTCCCATGCGATTTTACGGCCTCTTCCCCCGAGTGGCGCGACTGCTATCGGGCCGCCCGATCGCCGCGCCCCTCCCCTGCCTGTGCTCCCGACGCAAACACTCAAGTGGGTCACGGCCAATTGTGCGGTTGTAGCTGACGCAGTGACGCCGTGTTCGCGTGCGATCAAATACTGTGACTTCTTCGCAAACATTTACCAGTTTCCCTTTTGAACTGATAAAAAAATTACACTACTCCGATGATTTTCATACGAATGGTGATGTACTTGAGAGTGGACAATGTTCATATTTTCTTTTACTGACTACGAAATTCCTCGGAACGTTATTTCTTGGCATTTACGTTATTCCAAAGAAGGGGACCTATCTATGAACGTTTTTAAGAGGCACGGTTTCTGATTCCGTATCATTGTTCACTTAAATCATTTAAAACAACTTTTTTTACAACGTGTAATTAATTTAAAGGTGACTTCCGTATTTTACGCTCAAGATACTTTCTTCTCTTTTTAAAGATGAATATTACGTTTTTGACAATTGTTTTAGTTTAATTTCGTCAAAAAGACATGATTTATTTTTACAGCTAGGGTGAGCGTATTTTTAACAATCAAGAATTACTTTTGACTATAATTTCTTTTTGAACAGTTTAGTAACGCCTTGTAAAATCGAACTTATTTTGTAATAACCCAAACTTTTAGCTCCTTTCTCCATTGCTTGTTAAAAATTAAGCATTTTTGTCTAGAAATAGTTTCGAAACCATTCGACATACAAACTTATGATTTCTTGGATTTAATATAAATTAACGGCCTTCGCCGTTTATTTAAAAATACTCCATTTTGGCACTGTATTTCTCCCAATGTCAACTTTAAATATGGGATTCTCACATGACCGGTTCATTTTTCTGTTTTGTCAATCGCCGAGACTCCTCTTCTTTCAAGATTTTTGACGAGAGCTGACTGCATATAGCCCGGGGAGATGCTGAGCTTTCCTCCTCAATTTACAGTCGATGATAGATATTTTCAAAGACATCACGGAGCCATCCGTAATGAAAGATGAGACCTAAAGTCAAGAGTGCACACGCGTGCCTCTAGCCGAAAGTCCATCCAGCAGTGCAGTTGTTTTCAGAGACCCGTGCGCACAGGCCTGTACTTCGCAAAAAGAAAGGTGTAGTTCATGAAGAAAGGGACAAAAAGCAAGGTCACACATATGCTATTCTTGATTCCCACAACAACATTAATTATTCCGATTTTTTCTTTAAAGAATATTCATCCGCAAGTGTTCTCCGTTTCCGTGCTATCTTCGATTTGGGACTCAAGGTACTTTCCCCGATCGTCCCGTTGTAAATTTGCCCATGTGAAAGACAAAGCATTGTACACCAACCAAATCTTGGGATGGCTACTGTGACTCTCTGACATTTTCATCTTTAGGTGTTATTGGCTGACACTACAAACTGTTGTATACGGCTCTAAGAGAGTGCGATATAGAGTACCGTTTCCAAATCAACTATTCACCAAAACGCTATCTCATCATTTTTTTCTTCACATCGCAAATAAAATTGCCTCGTACCCCTCTACTGCGCAATTCATTGCATTCCCCCATTTGTATTCGAATACGTTCACTCTCATCGCTTTGTTTTTCGCTAGTATCTTGTCCAGCGGCCGCAATTGTCCTGAGTTTTTACCATGATTTTACGAGCCTTCGCTACAACGTGTTCGGCCGTTATCGCGCGGCGCGATCCGCCATCTTGTTAGATTCGACGCCGCGCAACAGTGCGCATGCGCGAGGCGGCGTTGGTAGATTGCCGTCGCGCCGTCGTTGTGCTGTCGCCGGAGAAAATTGGCTGCCCTCGCCGCGAGGGTCTCGCGAGGTTTATGGGGCCCTCTCGGTTATGACTGCGCGAGCGGCCTCTTATCTTCATATTTCAGGGGGGGGGGTCTGAGAGGGAGTCAAGAAGGAACGGAATGAGGAGGCACGGGGTGACGGGAACGTCCGGGTGGTACGTAGGGGTGGTAAATGTGTTGGGCGCTGAAGCGGAGAGCACGGAGTGGGCGATGAGAGCGGAAGTGG